AAACTAGCTTGGTAACAATAACAACAGAGAATTCTGTTGGATGAAGCGATTGGTGGTGCAAGACGATTACAATACCAATAACAACTGCATCGCGAAGGCCTTTAGCACGCAATGGTCCAACTAATCCCAGTCACGTTGACAAATCCAGGCACCAGTGTGCTTCGAATTTTGACCAAGACCGGGAAAGCACTCAGTTTGTCAGCGCATTTTTCGCTATACAGTACATGTCGAGGCACTGCGCTTGTCTCCAGGAAAGTCAGTTTCCTGTTATAAAATGTTCACTGATTCTTGTCAAAAACCAACTTTGCAAAAATAATAAAGATGACAAATGGAACAAGAGGTGACCGAATCAACGGATCTATTCATGTTTAAGCGAGTACACGAGAAGATTGCACTTTGAATCCGATCAGCTTTTAGGAGGAATAGGGATAGTCAAATGTAGAACACAGTCGACGAATCATTCTAGCAAGTATTAAAGTCGCCCGTTTGGAATGGTAGATTAATAAAAATTGTTTTGTTGTTTGACCGTTATGGAGTTCAGTTCAGAAATGGCAATTGTGCTGTGTTTCTGTAACACCAAAATCGAGGCCGGAGTCGTAATATTTCGCATAAACCACGGACTGACAGCGCGCAAAATCCAAATCCAACAGCAGACCTGTTTATACTGTTGCTCGGTTTAATCATATATGTGCGAAAAACTAAAGGTAGAATTATGTCATGAGGTCAAGCAGTGCAAATTAACCTACGAAAATGAGGATTGGTGTGAGTGATGTTTAAATTATTCCCTAGCTCACTCGTTCAGACACAAAAGCAGTTTAAACAACGGGATGTTCAACAAAGCATTTCAACTGTAAACTCTGAAGTGCTTCGGTTTCGCGCTGTGTGGTGTCTGAGTGCTGGACCGAAACTTCTGTACACACCTGTCTGGTTTTATGGAGCATATGATAAGCGTGAGAGCTGTTACACTCGTTTTCCTCAGAATAATCCTGAACTTCTGTTCTGCCACCCGGTAACTGGATCGATTGATGCAATGACTTTAAATGAGCTCATCAGAAGAATTAAATTCCGATTAAAACAAGTGACGTACTCTGCCCGTTAGAGCATTATTTTAACCGTGCTATGGGACATCTGATATTGTCTTTGGTTTCCATACCCTTCCTGGCGTTCACTGGACAGACTGTGGCACGTACCAGTAACCATCAAAACAACTGATCAACTGTATCATTTTAGACATTCAAACAGTTACCATGGTTGCGTTTAGGGTGGAGCATAATGCGTTTCGCATCTGCACAGTAAAAATTCATTTCTTCTACCTGTGGTTAAATCTCAAGTAGTGGCAGACACCACTATAAGTTCATGCCGTAGATTGAGTTTGAGGTGATCAACCGACACCAGTTTTATACACGTTTACTGTAGTTCAACATTCAGCAAACTATTCCTAAATAAGGTAGAATGGGTAATTTGTTTTGTGAGCAATTCTACACACTGCGACGCTGAGAAAATCAGTTTGTTTTCGAACGAACATTTTCTTCCCTGAGAAGAGGAAATTATGTTCATTCAATGGAACACACTCATTTACTATTGATTACCGGTGAAAACATTGATTTCTTTTACTCCATTTGTCATGAAAATTGAATGCGTCAATTAGCAAGTGTGCTGGAACAAATCATAGATCTTACCACTTGGTAATTTCTCGGTTTGTGATAGCCTCAAAAGGTTTGCAATGCAATATTCCTGGTCTTCTACACACGACTGTTCACAGAATAAGATAAAACCTCTTGAAGTCAAACTCCGTCGGTGATGTGTTTGAGCAAGCAAATGACCTCTGTTCAAAAGCGTCCCGGCCTATTATCTAATCATTCATATTTCAAATGACGTGAAACCATTCTGTTTCCGCAACTCTTCCTAAGTGGTTTGTTCATTAGCAGCATCCCAATAATGTCAAAAAAGAGGTTCTCGCTTAATCTATTAACGGTCATATGAAACTAATGAATGTGCACCCGAAACAACCGGGAGCGTCGATCCCAACACAAATCCCCGTGTAATGCCGTCGGCAAACCAACGAAACTAAATCCAGCTACTGACGCCATCTTCAGTAGTAAAAATGAGAATGAGAATAGAGCGTAGGAAAATATTCTACTGTTACAGCATTGGCGCGAAAAGTGCACAACCCATGCTATGGAATATCGCTCCGTAAAGTATGCTGTCATTTTATTTTTTATCAGATAGCAGCAATCATTAGGAATTAAAATGAATGAAATGTATCGAAAACAAATTCATCAAACAGAGTATCTAACTACCTATTTATATATCTATCTATCTATTTATCTAACTATATATCTATCATTCTATCCGCGTCTGTCTAACAATCCGTGACCAACTATCTACCCATTTTCCCAAATATCTATCTATCTATCTAACTTTCTATCTATTCTTGTCAATGTATCTATCTACATATATATATATCTATCCGTTTCTATCGAACTATCTATCTATCTATCTGTCTAACGATCTATCTATTTATTCGTGTCTACCTATCGATCTATCTATCTATCTGTCCATCTATCTACCTATCAATCTATCTATGTAACTATGTATCTATCTATTCTGGCATCTTTCCGATAACTACATATGCGGAAGATTGATTTGAAATATTATATATCGACACCTTTACACCATTTTTTATTCTGCAGTAACCACCGGTTCAGATGCGATGAAGTGATTCCGGAATTAAATCAAGACGGCTTGCAGTTTTGTGGTTCGATAAGTGTAACAATAGTCAATAACAAACGTTACCCTCCGGCGACCTTTGAAAGCTTTGCCGGATTTAAACGATTTTTTGTTCAGGCTGTTTGGCGAGTTCTCGACGGAGAGGTTCAATGATTTAAGCTGGACATCTCGCGATTTCATGGCAAGGCATAGATAATATGGATCTGAGTGATCACCTATCTTCATAAAAAGCAAAGCATTTCGTTGGATGTACGTCTTTTTTCTTGTTACGTCTTCCGTTGTTTCGAATGGTGCCCTACTCACTGCCTTCTCGTGGCGAGGTGTTTTCCCACAAAAGTGAGAGGACGAAAAGCCAACATCCGGGGCTATAACCGGGTTGGTGGACCACTAGTAGTTCACCAAACCAAACAAGAGGAAGCATATTAACCAAACACATTCACGGTGGTGGCAGTGGTCACCGGCTTCGAGGTGTATTGGGCACCTTGGACGTTTGACCCCGTCCGAAAGGCGTATGATCCGACGAACTGAACACCGGCCCCCAATGGATTGCGGTTTACACCGTTTTTCTTTTTCATAAAGATTATTGTACCATGATTTGTTTGGCACAGTCCACATTCCCATCTTTTATCTTCACGATTACGGTTGGATGTCATTGCTTAGCGCCTATCTTAACCGGTAAGGATTCAGGTCCTACTAGTGCGAAACTCAAATGTCATCGAGAGACATGATCTTGTTTCAATTCGACACTTTAATCTACCGGCAAATATACCAGTGGAATAGTGCTAAATTGGCGGTTTTGCACAGTTCATGACCAAATGCCAAACAGGAATTTCTGGACAGGCTGTCGGAAGTACATTATTCGCAAAATTTTCTCACAAACGAAGGTGCATTCAAAGTACATTGAGAGAACGCGATTCTTGTTGCAGGAGTGATATATCGCCTTCACCAATAACGATTATTCAACAGGATAACCTTCATTTCGTGAAAATATTCAACAGTGGTAGTCCGTTAACCATCTAAGTATAGTATTCAAGTGGTACGGATCACTGACCTACCAAGTTAAACTGGGTCTGCTTCCCTGTGGCATTCCTTGAATTAGATGTCATTCATCCCCGTTTCGAAGTGAAGTCCATGTGTGACCATTTCAAATCCGTGCTTAACAATCAAACCGAAGATGTCGCTTTGACAGGCTGATACAGGTAAATTCGTCTTTCCGTATTTGCGAAATGTTCTGATGAAATTTCCCACGAATCTGCTGACCAGTATCTGTCGTCACTTTCTTTGCATTATGCTGCCTCCTACCGTGATGGGTTTGTCACATTTGTGTTCAACATGTCCTACTGGTCTGTGATCTATGCAGCAGTCTCAACGTCTTCCCTGACTGGCATGGAAAATTTTACGCTGTTCTCTATTGTCTGGTGGAGCAGAAAAAATGTTGACCACTCGCATAAAGTGCGGGTACTGTTGGTGAAATGCAGCTTAAACCTACATCTGAGACAAAAACATTCCATTGGTCAGAAGAACCAACCACATGTGGGTATGTGACCCTGGACGATGTTGGTTAAGTATCGATATCTTGAAGGTCGCACGGTAAATATTGGTAGCGGAAATTGTGCTAGTGCCTAATAAATTCATTTTCATGTTTGGGATTTGGATAGATTTGAAACCATCTACTGAAAAGCAATGAAGTAGTAAGTAGTAGTAAGTAGTAGTAAGTGCCAGTAGACTGCAGGATGAATCTGAGTGTTTAGGAGAATCAGAAGCCTAGGAAATGCTTTTGCTTAAACTAAATAGAATCCCAGACGAATGAAGTGAAGAAAAACCCCAAGACAACAAATCTGCCGACTGCAGAAGTCGCATGATCGGGCACTAAAGCCCAAAGCACGCCAATGACTACAGTTTAAACGGCTCTAATACCGCAATCATCGAATGAGTGTTCGATTACAAAGAAGATACCTAGACGACCACATATACGGATGGTAGTTTTATTTGCCTTTTTGTGTAGTATCCGTATGTGAGCTCGAATCCAATCAAGACCACTAAGCTTATAGTATGTGGAATGCATGAGGACGAGTCTCTCCCAATTCAAATGCAAAATAAATCAAAACAAATCAAAATGATTTGGCACATGGAACGGTGAAAACCGTTTACGTGGTAATTATCTTCGACTAACTCACAGAACGAGTGGCACACAATTACAGACCAACAAAGAAAACGAAGATCATTATGAATACATATGTGAAGTAGAGATACAATGTGAGCAGACATGACTAGACGATGTTGGAATTTGACAAGCGTTTGGCAGCATCCGGTCGATAGGCTTGGAGCATGCCCAACAGGCGAGAACCGCGACGTCCACAAACCACAGGACGAGGGACAGGGCGCTTGACATTGGTTTTCACACCTCCGGATTCTGACCCGGTTGGGACAGCGTGGAGTAGATTGGCTAGCACAGAGGTTACGTGTTCCTGTAATGAAGGATAGAATTTGCAGCGTAAAATTTAAAGGGCAAGAAGAAACCTTTTAAACGTTTTTCACCTGCCTCGATTAACTGAATAGCAAATAAGTTGACATGAACAAAGACGGTGACTGTTAAAACAAGCACATTTTCTGTCATTCGTAATATACCACGATTTGTATCGTCAATCATCATTCATCATCGTAAAGCTTAATAGAGTGAGGCGAACTTCGTTGATCTCTGCCAAACCCACAATGCATACAGCGTCAGAGGTAGCACTTAAAGTGAAAAGGGAGACTGAACCTGTTTTGAGGGACAGGGAAGAAAGTGAACCTCTATGATCAACACAAAGTGCGCAATGAAAATTTTCATATATACCGTTTCAAGCATTCTGGCCTGATAAGAGATGACAACAAGAACGCCACTGCTGTCGGTTCGCCGCCACATTCTTCATTGCCTCCAACCAACCAGTTGTGGAGTCTTTCGGACCCCAAATTGGAAGGCGCGAGACACCTACTCCACCTGATGACTGCGCATTTCTCCATACCTTGTCT